CCCTTTGACGGGCATGTCTCACTCGGCATAGTGTTGTAGGTTTACTTGGGGGCGTTTGGTAATACAATGAGCATCATACTGATGATGCAGTGGAAGAACAGATGGTGGCTTTTCTGCATCAGGAGTGGGTGCACTGGGTGTGATACCAGCAGCCGAGAGGCCGATGCAATCTGAGAGCGCCCCTCTTCGAAGCCAGTGGTGTCGGAACTAAACGTGGCGGAGACATCTTCCGGTCTCCCCAGTTATTATTTTAATAATTGTTATTGCTACCTGTTTTTTTAGTTTGTTTTAATGTTTTTGTTGATTTGAGAGAGAACATCCACATGGATGGGCTGCCTCCTGCACGCCCCCTGCTGGGGACTGGAGCCGACTGCCTCCCGGTGCGCGGTTGGAGCCACGCTGGCGGGCTCGCCCGTTATTTTGAACAGATAGACGGACTTCTGCTTTTGTTTTTTTTAATTTATTGATTTTTTACAGAGAGGAAGGGAGAGGGACAGAGAGTTAGAAACATCGATGAGAGAGAAACATCGATCAGCTGCCTCCTGCACACTCCCCACTGGGGATGTGCCCGCAACCCAGGTACCTGCCCTTGACCGGAATCGAACCCGGGACCCTTGAGTCCGTAGGCTGACGCTCTATCCACTGAGCCACACGGTCAGGGCTGGATAGAGGACTTCTGTGGGCGCAGGGGGACCTTGGTGTGTGGGTGGCGCCCATCATGGGCTTCCGGGGAGAGGAGCATGGAGCAGTGCTGGTTGGAAGTGGGAGCTCCAGCCGCCTGGGCCCGGATTCAGACTCTGCCCCGGCGATCTGTGACCCCAGCCGGTTGGCCCAGGGGTTTCCTTGACTGGTCTGCGGAGTTGGAGTGGCAGGAGCATTACTGCGAGGGAGAATGAGGGGGGATGTGCCATGCGGAGCAGTACCTGGCATGGTGTCAGCACTACCACCGAAGAGTTTGCATACTACTATTTTGTTTCCATTTGCCTCAGGGGTGATAGGCACAGGTCCGCCCACACCCGCTCCATTCCGTTTCTTTGGTCTCTCTTCACACTTTTCCCCTCTGCTGCGAAGACAGTGTGGTCTCACTCTGTGCCACTCACAATTTCCTACATTATTTGTGAGGGCCTCCTGTGTCCTAAGAATAATTCATGAGCTGGAGAAGCAAGGTGGACAAGATCCTGCTCCTTAAGGAATCTCTATACTGATAAAAGGGTAATATGCTCATTAGACTGGGAGACCTTCTGGGCAAAGCAGGGGTGGGGGCTTGGCTGGCCTGCAAACCACCCCCAAATGGCCCTCAGCCCCTCGTCCAGGCTGGCCACACCCTCTTAGTGGGGTCCCCCACACTGAAGGGGGCATGGCCAGCCTGAAAAGTCCCTCACCCTCGTCCAGGCTGGCATCACCCCCATTGGGGACCCCCTACCCTGATCCGGGACCCCTTCGGGGCAGACCAGCCGGCCCCATCTGTGTACCAGGCCTCTATACTAATAAAAGGGTAATATGCTAATTAGATGGGAGACCTTCTGGACAAAGCCATGGTGGCCGGGCCAAGGCAGAGGCGGTTAGGGGCGATCAGGCAAGGAAGGGAGGGCAGTTGGGGGTGATCAGGCCAGTGGGGTGGGCAGTTAGGGGCAAGCAGGCCAGCGGGGGGAGGGGGGCAGTTGGGAGCGACCAGGCCAGCAAGAGGGAGCAGTTGGGGGCGAGAAGGCTGGTGTGGGGGGCAGTTGAGGGTGAGCAGGCTGGCATGGAGGGCAGTTGGGGCAAGCAGGCCAGCGAGGGAGGGCAGTTGGGAGCGATCAGGCCTGCAAGGGGAAGCAGTTGGGGGCGAGAAGGCTGGCGGGGGTGGGGGCAGTTGTGGGTGAGCAGGCAGGCAGGTGATAGGTTAAGAGCCAGCGGTCCCGCATTGCGAGAGGGATGTCCGACTGCCGGATTAGGCCCGGATTAGTCGGACACCCCCCAGGGGTCCCAGATTGGAGAGAGTGCAGGCCTGGCTGAGGGACATCCCCCTCCCCCATGCATGAATTTCGTGCACCAGGCCACTAGTGTATTTATGTTCTCTTTGGAGGAGACGAGTAGTAGAAACAAACAAATAAAACAAGTTCCCATGCTAAGTGCTGAGAAGGGGATGCTATTTTAATCGGCGTTTTTGCAGGAAAAGCTCACTTTGTAGAGGTGGCATTTGAATCAGTAAATCCTTACTGAGGAGCAAGCATGACATCATCTGGAGGAAAGGAAACGTGTTTCAAGCAGAAAAAGCAACCTGAGCCGAGACAGACAGGATGAGCTCCACGTGGTCTGGAGGGAGGCATTGTCAGGGAGGAGGAAAGTGCACGGAAATTATGTCCACGTGCTCGACTGACGTTCAAAATAAGCAAGGGGATTACGGGATACAGGGCATTTCAGTTCTTTAACAACATGCATTCCTATTTATGTTGCATTTTCACAACGGAACTGGCTAAATTCATCATTTACACCCCTGGGTTCTTTCAGTGCACCCTTAGGTAATTTCTCTTTCCCTTCAGAAATGAAATAGGCCACCCTAGCCAGGGATAGAGCGTCACCCTGCTGACTGAAGGGTCCTGGGTTGCATTCCTGTCAAAGGCACATGCCCAGGTTTCGGTTTCGATCCCCAGTAGGGGGCGTGCAGGAGGCAGCAGATCAATGATTCTCTCTAATCATTGATGTTTCAATCTCCCTCCCTCTCTGAAATCAATACAAATATATATTTTTAAAGTATACATATTTTTAAAAAATGAAATAGGCCTTTATTGAAACAGTCTGTCCTTTCCTGAGAGGCAGCTGGACTGTGGGTGAATTAAATACTCCTGAGCTTTAGCTTCTGCATCTTTAGGTTGGAAATCACTACTTTGTGTTAAGTGGTCAGAATGGACACAGTAGCCATTGAAATGTTTCCTCCGTTTTTGGCTTGACAAGGCTTCCCATGAGACTGCCCGAGTTCACCACGGCAGCTTGCTGTCCTGAGATTGTGCGTGATTACCTTGCCCTGGCTTTCCTCCCACTTCTGTAGAATTTCCACGGTGCTTTCCTACTTTCACTATTACAATTTTAACACTGCAGCACTTGCCTCTTGTTAAAGTTAATCCAAAGGTGTATAGCCCATCCCCACTCACATCTACATACCATCAGAAAATAGATTTACTTCACAGCCTTGTTTTCAGTAAGAAACTTAAAACACTAAAGGGGCGCCCTAACCGGTTTGGCTCAGTGGATGGAGCATCGGCCTGTGGACTGAAGGGTCCCGGGTTTGATTCCGGTCGAGGGCATGTACCTTGGTTGCAGGCACATCCCCAGTGGGGAGTGTGCAGGAGGCAGCTGATCGATGTTTCTCTCTCATCGTTGTTTCTAACTCTATCCCTCTCCCTTCCTCTCTGTAAAAAAATCAATAAAATATATTTTTAAAAAAACAAACAAACACTAAAGGGACCTTGGTTTCATGCTTTCAGGGGGAAAAAAGTGTTTGAAGTTTGAGAGGAGGTTCAGGTAATGTTGTACAGTCTGCTCTTTAACAGAGTCAGTTTGAGTCCGCATATTAACCCGGATGTTCTGTCTAAACATTACCTGGTTTTCCACAGAATATTTGAGTACACATCTCTCTCTATTGGACATCTGTTGCTCTATCTCGACCAGCACCTTCTGTTTCTTGGAGAAATGCCCCTTTCTGATGCTTTGTGATTCTCATGTCACTATTAACGGTGGATATGGGTATAACCAGGCCTTGCCAGTCATGGCACCCATCCCTCTCTCCTCTTTATTTTTTTATTTTTTTAAATATATTTTATTGAATTTTTACAGAGAAGAAGGGAGAGGGATAGTTAGAAACAATGATGAGAGAGATCGATCAGCTGCCTCCTGCACAGCCCCCAGTGGGGATGTGCCCGCAACCCAGGTACATGCCCTTGACCGGAATCGAACCTGGGACCCTTGAGTCCGCAGGCTGACGCTCTATCCACTGAGCCAAACCGGTTCGGCTCTCTCCTCTTTAATTGCTCACTCAGGCAGGGCCAGACACAGTGCTCCGGTCTTGACATGTGAACTCCGGGAGAGCATAGGTCTTTCCTAGGGTTATAAACCCAGACCACACAAGTCTGGAACTGCCAAGGGCCATCTTGCCACCACATGGAGAAACCCTGTTTGATGATAAAGTCAGACAGAGGCCAGCAGGACGGAGAAATAAGAGAGAAAGGAGAGCCCTAATATAGGTACAGTTTGCAAAGGTTCTTGGACTTCCCAGTTGGTGAACCAATACGTTTGAACTGGTCCTTTGTTAAGTGTGTCCAAAAGAAGCCTGACTCAGCACACTCCTGCTACAGTATAGTGATCCGTAGCTCCCTAACCTTCATAGCAACCACTGAGACTGGTTGTGCACCTTGTGCATGAAAGAGTGAATGGCCTGGGATGGCACCTGGTGAAAGATCTGGATGGGTGCATGAATCAATGAGCAAATGGGAGCTTGCCTTTTATTTGCCATATAGCATGTCCGCTATACAGTTTGTCTACATAGAATTTAGTTTTCCAGAAATGATGCTGGAAAGAAAGAATGCAAAATGCTAACATGTTTATCTCTGGGTGGTGGGATTCCGGGAAATTTTTTTCCTTTTGAATTTTTCCTTTATGAATTTCCCAAATCTTCTATAAGGTATATGAATACCTTTTATC